GCCCACATCCAGACACTGAATACACTAAATCTTCAATGCTGGCCAGTCAACAGTGAACACACAGCCCACATCCAGACATTGAATACACTAAATCTTCAATGCTGGCCAGTCAACAGTGAACACACAGCCCACATCCAGACATTGAATACATTAAATCTTCAATGCTGGCCAGTCAACAGTGAACACACAGCCCACATCCAGACACTGAATACACTAAATCTTCAATGCTGGCAAGTCAACAGTGAACACACAGCCCACATCCAGACATTGAATACACTAAATCTTCAATGCTGGCCAGTCAACAGTGAACACACAGCCCACATCCAGACATTGAATACACTAAATCTTCAATGCTGGCCAGTCAACGGTGAACAAAGCACAGCCCACATCCAGACACTGAATACATTAAATCTTCAATGCTGGCAAGTCAACGGTGAACAAAGCACAGCCCACATCCAGACATTGAATACACTAAATCTTCAATGCTGGCAAGTCAACAGTGAACACACAGCCCACATCCAGACATTGAATACACTAAATCTTCAATGCTGGCAAGTCAACAGTGAACAAAGCACAGCCCACATCCAGACACTGAATACATTAAATCTTCAATGCTGGCCAGTCAACAGTGAACACACAGCCCACATCCAGACACTGAATACACTAAATCTTCAATGCTGGCCAGTCAACAGTGAACACACAGCCCACATCCAGACACTGAATACACTAAATCTTCAATGCTGGCCAGTCAACAGTGAACACACAGCCCACATCCAGACATTGAATACATTAAATCTTCAATGCTGGCCAGTCAACAGTGAACACACAGCCCACATCCAGACACTGAATACACTAAATCTTCAATGCTGGCCAGTCAACAGTGAACACACAGCCCACATCCAGACATTGAATACACTAAATCTCCAATGCTGGCAAGTCAACAGTGAACACACAGCCCACATTCAATAAACTTAACATGGCCATGCTGATAATGGGTAAAAATGATAAGAGGAGTGGCAGCCATGATGAGAAAGATGAACAAATCAAATCTCTCATCCTGCTCAACAACAATAATTATTGATATTTTTTAAATTCCTGTTCATTTAACTTAATTTTTACATTTCTTTAATTTTTTTATTTTTTGAGTTTTCTTGGAAATGTTACAAATGTTCATTCAATTTTCTTGTATATTAATTTTTTTTGTAAATACATTAAACTTCTTCCATTTTAATTAAATTGTTTTCCTACTGTTGCCTCTACTTGATCCATCTCTGTAAATGTACCAGTATATTCTACTGGTTTTTAAAATGTGCCCACATATTCGGTTGCTTCCAGTTAAGTTGAAGACGTGTAATATCACACAACAGTTTCGTTTTGTTTGTTTATATTATTTTAACTTGACTGACTGACTGACTTTCTACCCCACCAGGACATCACACAAGCGATAAACACCGGATGACACAAAGTGCCACCATGTGGATGAGAATCGCTGTGGAGAGGTCCCAGGAACCACATTCAGACAATTAGCCATATTTATGGCCTGCCTATATTGCGGCCACTGGTAAAAGCCAGGGTGGGGCTTCAAATAACAAAAAATTTCGTCCTAAAAAGGACAAAATATGTTTTACATTATTTTACATTATTATTTTAACTTAGTGTCACATTGCCTTTAATTTTAAACAACCAATGATATTTTATGTTTTCCTTCTTGTCTTGTTATGTGCTGATGCCACCATTTCTAATTCTGACTTCATAGTGAAGACAACTGCATACCACTTCTGTCTTGGAAGCCACAGACTGGCCTATTTTTCTTGGAAGCGATTAAAAGCCTAAACCTTTTTTTTTTTTATTTACTTTGCCTCTTGCATGAATTTTCTTTCGAACCATTATTATTTCCCTTGAGAATATACAGAAGCCTTCTCTGGACTAGTCAAAAAGGTATTCTGGTCCTTTCATCAAGCAGGCTTTTCTTCTTGTTTTAAACTGTTGAAGATTTTATTTCACCTGCTCCAGCTAGTCTCACTTTATAAATAACCATACTTGCACGAGTGAGGGGAAAAAAGAGGTGGGAGAGAGGGAAAGGATGTGGAAGAGAAAGACAGTCAGAGAGGAGGAGGAGAGATAGCTAGAAAGAAGGAAAGAGAAAGCGTAAATCAGCGCCATTATTCCGTTGACTTCACTCAAGTTTTCTTCAGTTGAAATTCATATAAAAATGTCCTGTTCTCATCCTACTTGTTAAAAAGCCACTTGGTAGTTAATAAGGTTTCACTGAAGAAGAAAATGTAACAGTGTTTCTCAAACTTCTAGAGACTTTTCTAGATTCACAACGGTCAGACATGCCTACACGTTTGACACCGAACACAGCAAGATTCCTCATGTCAGTTCTTTTTCTTTTTGTGTGTAAGGGCACTTTCAATTATTTTTAAACAAAACCCTACACAACAGTGCACATTCAGAAGATTGTGATACATAACCATGTATATATTATATATATTAGGTGCACATCCTGACCAGGTTCTTCTTTGCCCCAGTGTCTCTAACTGGAATGTTTTAACAATGGCCTAGAGTCGACCCAGCCTGATCACATGGAAACCATGAGATTTAAAGGAAGGAATGTGGCAGACAGGGCACCAGGCAAGAACACCGGCCCCTATTCCCTAAATACATTTACATGGTAGACAGTCATCCTGCACCAGCCACTTATGGCAACAGTAGCCAACCACTAGCTTCACACTTGAAAGGTCCTGAGTTTGTTTTCTGACTTGATTAAACAAAACTCGGTGACATGATATTGTCTGTCTAACAATTTTAAAACTACCTGCTCATTTCCTTCCATAAAACTGCTGTCAGGTTTGCCAAAAATACTTGGTTTCTCCATCCATTTCCCACCTTATTGGTGGCGGCCAGGTCAACACTAAAGGCTTTTAAGGGGTCACTACACAGCATTATTTTTCCAATTTATGGGGAAAAAAATCACTTTTCAATGTGTTCCTGTTTGTAAACTTCGACATTTGTAAATAGATTAAACTCAAAATTTAGGTCATTTGTAAAAAATTTAGCTTGAAAAGGTAATACTAAAGACACCTTCCCATGCACTTTTTTAAGAAAAAAAAAAGTTTAAAAGTCAGTTTTCTCACATCTCTATATTTCTGTTTTGTGTGTGTGTAAAATCCTCAAATCTCAGTTATTATACAGACTATAAACATGAAATTTGCTGTGGATACTTCTTAAATAATGTTATAGGGACCTGTCTATTTAAAAGTAGATGTTAGATAGTTATTTTTTACAATTGATTATTGTCTTATGATGCTACATTTTTTGACTTTTTCAACAAATCCACAATTTAAAATTCAAAGAAAAATATTTAAAAACATTTCTGAAGTTAATAAACTAAACCTGTACCCCTATGTAAAATTAAAGTTCATGAATCCATAATTTATTTTTCAAAACCTTAATTTGTTTTTAAAATTTTTAAGATTCTACATTTATGTTAGTTTTTTCTCAAGATGGAGGCTATTGCCATGGCAACTATAATTTTTTTTTTAAACTTAAAGTATGCAAATGTATTAACATGTATCCATACAAATGAATATTATAAAATGATTAGTCTAACACTGTAAATAAAGAAACAAAATTTTTTTGTTTAGTGACCCCTTAAAGCCAAAACTTAGACACAAATCTAGACAGTGGAAATTTCATTTTTTATACCTGATATCATCATCATGTAGCAGGTCCTTTGCAGAACGTCGCTCTCATCACATACTGCCTGAAAGAAACTTGGTCTCTCGCCAGCCCTCCAGCCTCATGCAATTTCATACATAAGGAGTCACTTGTATCCTGTGCTCATCTTCATGTTGGTCGGCCCCTGTCCCTCCTTCCTGGTACCATGCCTTCTGCTATAAATTTTTCCAATCCGTCATGGCACTTGATATGACCAAAATATTTCAGCTTCTGAGACAGGATGCTGTTTATTAGCCAATCTTCCTTGATGTTAAGATCTTTAAAGATGTCAGTATTTCTCCTCTTTTTCGTCCAAGATATTCTGAGAATCTTTCTATGGCGTTTCCTCTATGATATCCCTGATGGCAATAAACTATGTGAAAGTGACCTGACACTGGAGAGACATTTGTCCATGCTATAAAAAATATACTTAGTACAATGTGACCCACTGGCAATCTCTTTAAACAATTTGAGGCCCTGATTATGTGTATGTGATTTAACCCCACCAGGACCGTACAACGAGCGACCAACATCCACACTATGACACGATGTGGGTGAGGATCACCCAGGCATAAGTCCCAGAAACCTCGTTTAACCGATAGGTTATATTAGGGCCCCTTACTACAGCCTGGATGGGGCCTTTAAATAATGAAAAATTGGTCCCATTTTGAGACTAAAATTAATGAACACACGTATTAGAAATGTCCTAGCTTTTGTACAGATTGTCCTATAGTCATAGGTGTTTTTGTAAACAAAAAAATTAATTTGTGCTTTTTGTTTAATACACGTTTCTGGTTCTTGTGGATGATTCCCCTATCTGAAACCAATGGTTGTCTGGAAAAAAAAATTACTGTCACAACCTTTCCCTTGAAAATGTTAACTTAGTCTCAGAATTTTAGAGAAACACTGCTAGACAGCAAGGAAGAAATGAAATGACATGCAGATACACAGTCAGTTTCAAGCAGTTATTACCAAGCAGCTAGCATGCAACCAAAATCGTTCAGAAAGACTAAGGGGAAAAAAGCAATCTCAAGTACACAAAATGTTACTTTAACAAACAAAACGTATTACAATGAAGTGTAGTGCAAAAGCTTCATAAAACAAAGAACGCTTGACTGGATGTTAAATTATGGTGATGAAGTAAGTTAAAAAATAATTTTATAAAATACGAATTTATGAAACGAAGTGTATGCTACAGGTTAAAAAAATAAAGTTGAGGCTAGATTCAGTGAGAGAACAAACAAAACGATAAAAATCATTATTAAAAGATGAAAACTGACCAAATATGAGATGTGTCCAGGCATGACTGCAGGCACTGCTACTGTCTTTGTCCCCGCCTCACAGTCCAAACATACAGAAAACATGCAGGTTAATCAGTATGCACAGCTAAACACAGCAACACATAGTGGTTTGTTTAGTACAATGGGCTAGCTGCCCATGAGCAAGGCGGGTTGTCTGGCGTCATCACAACTACAGACTTTCTGTGTCTATAAAAAAAAAACAGATGGCTGGTGGAACAAGGCAAGTGCCCCAACTTGTCTCCACTATAAAAACCGAACAGCCCAAACTGTTATTTTCCACGTTTTTATTCACAATTAAGAAACGGTATGTTTCAACTATGGCTGTATCCGGCAACTACAGTGTCGTGGCTAGCGGTGGTTACGTAGACCAACCGAACCTAAAATGGATAGGAAGAAATGTTATTTGATCTACAAACATTTGACACGATATTTTTTGCATCAAACAACGTGTGCCAACTACTACATACAAATATAGTGGTACATCATCAGTGCCTAATGCGCCTTAACAAATGTACAAGGGGCCGCAACTGTGTTGTATCTACTGTGGCTGTTTCTAGACTGGTTATCTCCTCTGTGTATACAGAAATCGTTCTCAGGTCTGATGTGATAGTTTATCTGTAACACAGCGATTCCAACATTTATTTACACTTTCTAATAGCATACAGACACATTTGTCGATGTCGTTAGACATCTCTGACATGCAGCAGTAGTCCTCAAATGTGTTTAGAAATCCTAATTATAAACAGCGTGAAACACACTGCACATGCGTAAGTGTAAACACCCCCCCCCCTCCCTCCCCCGCAACTGTACCGAAAATTTAAGATGAGTTGCACAAGCACAGCCGATCCGCAAATATGTATGTGCCGTTTACAAATAGCGGTAGTTCCAAAACTGTTAGAGCGATAGATATCTTTGATACACCTTTTGATATTATTTCTTCGGCTTGAAATACACAAACAGTTATAAAAGTTTCGCTATATTACATTTATTTGGTTTATCTGTCCCCTTTAATTTCTGTGAACAGTCCGTCTTTATCCAAAGTTTGACTTGTGGTGAAACCGTACAATAAAGCTCTAAACTCATGACTGTGTCAAACATGTTACTCTAGACACAGAAACTAATGTCTGCAGTTTACTAATACTCTAAAACTAATCCTCACATTGCGGCAGACGACCACATGTGGCCGACATTACCAGGTGTTTGTGATAGTTCAACATTGGCTTGGCACATCCAAGTATCTGTGATAGTTTAACATTCGTGTGGGACATCCATGTATGTGTGATAGTTTAACATTCGTTTGGTACATCCAAGTATCTGTAATAGTTTAACATTCGTTTGGCACATTCCAGTATCTGTGATAGTTTAACATTCGTTTGGTACATCCAAGTATATGTGATAGTTTAACATTCGTTTGGCACATCCGAGTAGATGTGACAGTTTAACAATTCTTTTGGCGCATCCAAGTATCTGTGATAGTTTAACATTCGTTTCGCACATCCAAGTAGCTGTGATAGTTTAACATTCGTTTGGCGCATCCAAGTAGCTGTGATAGTTTAACACTAGTTTGGCACATCCAAGTATCTGTGATGGTTTAACATTCGTTTGGCGCATCCAAGTAGCTGTGATAGTTTAACATTCTTTTGGCACATCCAAGTAGCTGTGATAGTTTAACATTCGTTTGGCACATCCAAGTAGCTGTGATAGTTTAACATTTGTTTGGCACATCCAAGTAGCTGTGATAGTAGTATCTGTGATAGTTCAACATTTGTTATTCACATCCAAGTAGTTGTGATAGTTTAACACTCGTTTGGCAGATCCAAGTATCTATGATAGTTTAACACTCGTTTGGCACATCCAAGTATTTGTGACATTTTAACATTCGTTTGGCACATTTAAGTATCTGTGATAGTTTAACATTCGTTTGGCACATCCAAGTATCTGTCATAGTTTAACACTCGTTTGGCACATCCAAGTATCTGTGATGATTTAACATTCGTTTGGCGCATCCAAGTAGAACTGATAGTTTAACATTCGTTTGGCACATCCAAGTAGCTGTGATAGTAGTATCTGTGATAGTTTAACGTTCTTTTGGCACATCCAAGTATCTGTGATAGTTGACATTCGTTTGGCACATCCAAGTATCTGTGATAGTTTAACATTCGTTTGGCACATTCAAGTATCTGTGATAGTTTAACATTCGTTTGACACATTCAAGTATCTGTGATAGTTTAACGTTCGTTTGGGTAATCCAAGTGTCTGTGATAGTTTAACGTTTGTTTGGCACATCAAAGTATCTGTGATAGCTTAACAGTCGTTTGGCACATCTAAGTATCTGTGATAGTTTAACGTTCGTTTGGCACATCCAAGTATCTGTGATAGTTTCAAAATTGTTTGACACACCCAGGTATCTGTAGCTGCAACACTGTGTGACTCACAGAAGTTTCTGATAGCTCCAAACTTTGGTGACGCAACCAAAAGTGTCTGACAGCTCCAAATTTTGGTGACGCACCCAAGTGTCTGACAGCTCCAAATTTTGGTGACGCACCTAATTGTCTGGTGCTTCAAATTTGGGTGACGCACCCAAGTGTCTGGCAGCTTCAAATTTTGGTGACGCACCCAATTGTCTGGCAGCTTCAAATTTGTGTGAAACCTTCAATTATTTTTGACAGTTTGAAAATCATGTGATACACCCTTTTAACTGACAGTTTCAAATTCGCATGACATACTCAATCGTTTGCAGGAGATAGTAAATGTCTCTTGCCGACATTTCCAAGAGTTGGCTATAGAAGAAGACCACCAGTGTGTTGCGTTTATAGGAAATGTTTTCGGTGGAGTGTCATGTTTTCGGTGAAGTGTCATGTTTTCGGTGGAGTGTCATGTTTTCGGTGGAGTGTCATGTTTTCGGTGGAGATAATCCAGCTGCTATGACGTGGTGTACCCTGGGTGCCATGCTCTGGAGATAATCTAGGTGCTATGACGTGCAGATAATCTAGGTGCTATGACGTGGTGTACCCTAGGTGCTATGACTTGGAAAGACCTCAGATGCTATGACGTGGAGAGACCCCACGTGGTGTATGTCACCTTCTTTCAATATATGTCCAAAAAATATCCCCGAAAAGCGCTGGGAAGAACTGAACAACCTATCGATAAAATTGTTATTTATATTATCATTAAAGGGGCATTTAGGGTGACATCGGTAGTAACCTTGGCGGGCTTGAAGATGCAATAACTAGTCTTACTGCAGAGATGATTATTAAACATGTTTCACTGGAGATCCCAACAGCCGTGACAATCAATTCCATTAAGATCATTCCTATAAATAAACAGAGAGGGGAACCATTTGAAGCCGTTAAATATTATGAATTAATCAAGTAACAGAAACTATTGTGAACGGCACTCATAGAAAGAAGTAGAAAGATAGAAGAACACACTAGACAACATAAAAATCGAAAGCTATAGTTACCGTGCCGGGAATTGAACCTGTCACCTCCAGACGGCGTCTGCGCCTCGCCATGAATACAAGTGCACTAAGATACATGGTCAACGCAGACGCCGTCTGGAGGTGACAGGTTCAATTCCCGGCACGGTAACTATAGCTTTCGATTTTTATGTTGTCTAGTGTGTTCTTCTATCTTTCTACTTCTTTCTATGAGTGCCGTTCACAATAGTTTCTGTTACTTGATTAATTCATAATATTTAACGGCTTCAAATGGTTCCCCTCTCTGTTTATTTATAGGAATGACGTATACACACCGGAACCTACCAATCAAATACCTTTCTTAAATGTTTGTGTATTCTAGACAGGGCAATAAGGTCTACTGTGTACGTAAATTGTTGCTGTGATTGTTATTTGACATTTGCCTCGTTAATATAAATTTCTGTAACCTATGGTGCCATTTCAATGGGTTGAAATGAATTCTGTCCGTATTCCATAGTCGTGGATTTCAAGCTGTACGATAGACATGGCCAATGAGACACCTTTTTTAGGGGGTGCCGAGTTGACCATGTATCTTAGTGCACTTGTATTCATGGCGAGGCGCAGACGCCGTCTGGAGGTGACAGGTTCAATTCCCGGCACGGTAACTATAGCTTTCGATTTTTATGTTGTCTAGTGTGTTCTTCTATCTTTCTACTTCTTTCTATGAGTGCCGTTCACAATAGTTTCTGTTACTTGATTAATTCATAATATTTAACGGCTTCAAATGGTTCCCCTCTCTGTTTATTTATAGGAATGACGTATACACACCGGAACCTACCAATCAAATACCTTTCTTAAATGTTTGTGTATTCTAGACAGGGCAATAAGGTCTACTGTGTACGTAAATTGTTGCTGTGATTGTTATTTGACATTTGCCTCGTTAATATAAATTTCTGTAACCTATGGTGCCATTTCAATGGGTTGAAATGAATTCTGTCCGTATTCCATAGTCGTGGATTTCAAGCTGTACGATAGACATGGCCAATGAGACACCTTTTTTAGGGGGTGCCGAGTTGACCATGTATCTTAGTGCACTTGTATTCATGGCGAGGCGCAGACGCCGTCTGGAGGTGACAGGTTCAATTCCCGGCACGGTAACTATAGCTTTCGATTTTTATGTTGTCTAGTGTGTTCTTCTATCTTTCTACTTCTTTCTATGAGTGCCGTTCACAATAGTTTCTGTTACTTGATTAATTCATATTATTTAACGGCTTCAAATGGTTCCCCTCTCTGTTTATTTATAGGAATGACGTATACACACCGGAACCTACCAATCAAATACCTTTCTTAAATGTTTGTGTATTCTAGACAGGGCAATAAGGTCTACTGTGTACGTAAATTGTTGCTGTGATTGTTATTTGACATTTGCCTCGTTAATATAAATTTCTGTAACCTATGGTGCCATTTCAATGGGTTGAAATGAATTCTGTCCGTATTCCATAGTCGTGGATTTCAAGCTGTACGATAGACATGGCCAATGAGACACCTTTTTTAGGGGGTGCCGAGTTGACCATGTATCTTAGTGCACTTGTATTCATGGCGAGGCGCAGACGCCGTC